TATCACTCTGTGATCATTACTAAACACCAATCTAAATTTTTAGGCCAGGGAATGGTCAATAAAGATTTTTTATTTACTGTCAAACAGAATAAGGGGCTGTACCAAACGTATATATAAGTCATCATTGTAAAGTATTACCTTAACAATACTCTGAATAAAATGAATAAATAATAATAGTGATTTATGCATTATTTCAACAACAACTTATTAAATCCTACTGTGTGTCAGGCAGTATATTATGTACTGTTAAAGCATGATATTTCCAGAAATCAACTGGCATAACATTTGAAATGAAAAATATATTGTTACTGAAGCAGATTCTCTGTTTCTAAGGACAATCATCAGTTCATTCATACCATCAGTACTTACTACCTACTAAACATAAGATGTGCAGTGTTAGTCTTCAGGACCCTGAAGAAGCTGATATACTCCTGGAACTTAAGCTCTAGGAGAAGTGACAGACAATGGACAAACATGTAAATATTTAGTACCAAATGCTGGTAGTTCTATGAATGAAAACAAAGCAGGATAAAAAATTATATATGAGGATGTTAGGTACCCTTCTGTTGAATTCAATGCATAGTGACTCCATGTGACAGAATATAACTCTCCCAGAGTTTCCTGGGATATAATCTTTAGTGGAGTCTTTCTCCCACAGTGGATTTGCCAAACTTTGGGTTAGCAGCTGATCACTTAGAAGTGCTGACTACTGTTTCAAATTGACTAAAGACCCTCAAAAAGTGAGGGAATAAGTTCTGTTCACACTGTATCAAGAACACTCTTGGCAGAGGGAAGAATAATGTGCAAAGAACAACAAAGAATATGTGTGGCTGGTATACAGGGCAACAAAAAGAGAGAAAAATTGGCAGGAGGTCAGAGAGAGGCCAGGGGAAGTCCGAGGAGGCAGTTTAAGGATGTTGACATACAGGGTGAATATTGGACGGTCTAATATATTTTTAAATGGTCTCTGTGGTGCTCGCAGAACAGATTTGTAGGTTATAAGAGTACTGAAGCAAAATAGACAGACTAGCTGGACCTCCCGATGAGCGGAATGGAGACTTGGATTAAGTTGAGAGGCATTGAAGTCTGTACATACTTTGAGCATAAGAGCTGGTGGGATTTTCTGATCATCTGAATGTGTGTTCTGTGAAAAAGAGAATAGAAATGACAGTGAAGTAAATGTTTATTTAGCATATTAATAAGAATTAGGCATATTACATCATAATTATTACACATTATTATAAATACCCAAATGTAAATTAGTTCAACAAAAATAGAGTTTATAGTACTAATCAGTTTTTGATATTTTAAATTATCAAAAAAAATTTTAAGAAAAACACGTAACTAAAATATTGGGGTTGGTTTGCAGTGCACTCTGTAGCAGAAATATGTGTAAATTTTGTTCTTGCTATATTAGATGGTGATTTGTGTATATCTTGCTCATTTTAAACCAAACAGATGCCTGAGCAATTTGTGTGCTAGGGAAAAAGATCTGAAATTAAGCATATATGGAAAAATACTTGGTCCTCATCAGTAGTCATGCCAAGACACATGAAACAGATATTTGAACGAGATTACTGCAACATTTTGGCTCTTTTATGGATCTATCTAGCTCTAGGCACTTCTGGAATATTAATTTAACATTTTGCGTTTGGAGAAATATGTATTTAAATATATATATGTGTGTATAGCAAGTCCTAATGGCATAATGGTCTATACATTGAATTGCTAACTAACTGGTGGTTGAAACCCATCCTTCTTTCCATGGGAAAACAATGAGGTTCTCTGTTCCTGTAAAGGTTTAAGTGTCTTGCATAGCTGTAAGAGCCCTCAATAAAATGTTTTT